GACATAGGGACCCCTTTTTCATCATTCTGCCTCTATTCTCCCACTCTGCAGAATCTGTTAGTTCAATTAAATAGGGAAACCCTTCCAAATGAGGCGTCTACGTATATAATGTTTATGCTATTATTACTCTTCTTTGGCTTCCTTATTCTTCTAAAATGTCTTATACATTTTGAGACCTCCTGATTATGTCCTTTAGAGCTTTTTGCAGCAATATCTCCTCCTATAAGCCCTTCATTGATTTTGTCTCACAGGGTGCTGAAACAATAATGTTTTTTATACCAAAATCATCATCCTTTGTATCCAAATCAAGTCCAGAAGTGGTGAAAAACCAACCTTTTTTTTTTTTTATTTAAACCTTCAATAAAATAATAACAGAAAGTAATAAACCACTCCTGAACACACAAACGGTTCTGGTAGTTCAGATTTATTGCACACTCTAGAATTGTTTTACAGTTTGTGTCCCCCACCCTCTGGACTACAAACTGCTGTAAACATGGTTAACATCAAGTTATACATGAGGTCCAAAAACATTCATGGTGAAACATCTGGGATGAGCTTCCTGTTAAGCCTGATTAAAGTGACATAAAAGGCAGAAGGTTCTGATGAAGGTGAAGCATCAGGAAAGGTGCCATCAGAACCTCTACAGGTGAATTTGTTTTCCTGTTTGTTTCTGCAGAGAGAGAGTAAACCAGGAGAGAGCTCAACATGGAGGGAAACATCAGAGGAACCGGACAGAACCAGGAGTCCCATTTCTGGATTCTAGTTCCCTCTGCCAGCAGAACTCGGACTAGAAGCTCTCTGTCAGCCTGAGGCTCCGAAGCAGATTAAAGTCCATCTGTGATCCATCTGCTTCAGACAGACCGGGTTCGATGGCAGGAGGGGAGGAAGACGACCGGATGGAGCAGAGCTTCATCAGGAGGCATGAGAACATCTGTGGTGGGGAAGAAGAAGCTGGGCTGGAAGATGAAGCTCTGGTTCTGCTGCTCCAAAAGTCAGCTGAGGTGGATCGGACCCCAGAACAGAACCAGAACTGGGATGAGTTGGAGTGCGTTTCTGATAGGAGGAATGTCTGGTTTCCCTCCTGGCCCCATTTTAGGAACAGCTTTATAACCCAGAGCGTTGAGCTGCCAAACGGTACCAGTGACCCATTAAGAACCCAAAGAAGAGATCATTTCCTGAGCTTCCAGAAGCTCCACTAATCAGAGGGTTAGTCGGTAAATCTGTTAAAGACAGTTAAGCTGTGCAGTAAAGGGTTAAAGTGTTAGAACCGCCGCTAAGTGTCTGTCGGAGTGGACGGTTTACCGACGGCGCTCTCTGGCTGGAAGACCTCCATGATGCGTGCAGCGCAGATGTCGGAGGCGAACTGCGTCTCCTTGCAGATCTGCGACAGGCTGAGGAAGCCGTGCGGAAGGTCGTCCACCACCGTCAGGGTCACGGGTTGGCCCACCGCCCGCAGCTTCTTGGCGAACATCACCGAGTCATCGAGCAAGGCGTCCAGCGCCGAGGCCTGCGGGAAAACATGCTGCGTTCAGCTTATAAGGAAAACACCCGGACTGTGGAAAGTATTCACACCCTCTAACAAATGAATGTATTAGATGTTTTTTTATTATCTTTAACAATTTTGGAAAGTATGGTGTGACAGGATCGCCAGGTCTTCAGGGGGTTGAACATCTAGTGCAGTGTTTCCCAACCTTTTCAGACTCATCTACCCTTTTAGGCATTTTGTCTCACCATAAACCCCCACCCCCCCGGTCAAAAGTATGGATGATTGTCCAAAAGTGGAACGCACAATAAATTAAATAGACTATTTTGTACAGAAGCGTATTGCATTCACCACAGAAAAAAAAACAGCTGATTTTAGTATCTCGTAATTTTGAGAAAAGATCTCATAATTAAGAAATAACATCTTATAATTACGAGATCTTATCTCGGTATGAGGCTAATGGTATGAAGCCAACTGTATGAGGCTAAATGTATGAAGCTAACTGTATCAGGGTAACGGTATGAGGCTAATGGTATGAAGCTAGCTTTATGAGGCTTACTGTATAAAGCTAACTGTATGACGCTAAGTGTTTGACGCTAACGGTATGAGGCTAATGGTATGAAGCTAGCTTTATGAGGCTTTCTGTATGAGGCTAACTGTTTGACGCTAACGGTATGAGGCTAATGGTATGAAGCTAAGTGTATGAGGCTAGCTGTATTAAGCTACTGTATCTATATCCTAACTAGGAAAGTAAAAGTTGTGTGTCATTTATGTTTTTCTGATTTAAAACAAATCCAGGCTTATAAAAACCATCTCTTGATTCCATGCGGCGACCCGACCCCTTCCTTGGGGACCCCTGCTCTATGGCATTATTTCTGTTCTGTCAATCAGGAAGTTGGGAACCTTTTCTTTCACCGCTTGGCGGTGCATGAATCTATAGATGTGGTTCCGATCGGGAAGAAACGAACCTATCCTCTGTCTCTTACCACAATGTGAACAGGGGGCAGGCCCCTCAGCAGACTGGTCGGCGCCAGCACAGGAGACACGAACGGGTTCCTCATCACAGGGCAGGACGTTGGAAGGACGTAAGCGTGGCACTCCGAGCGCAGCGGCTCAAAGCCGTCCGGATAGTGAAGGATGTCTGCAGAGGTCACGGTGGCGGCGGGAGCCGATGCCCTGCGGTGATCGATCCCTCTGTGTGACCGAAACGACGCTCTGCTGGGGTCCAGGAAGGACTGGATCCAGTTGGAGGCTCCCTGAGTGAGGTCGCTGAGCAGCAGGGCCGTGTCTCGGCCCAGAGCGCTCAGGCTGCCTCTTCGCTCTGCAGGCTGGACCGTCTGGAAGTCTGAACCTGGGGGAGAGCAAGCCCAATTATTTACAGAGTAATCCAACCCAACTCTAAACTTTCTGCTTCTGAATGCAGACAATGCAGAAGTTATAGTATTTGGACCAGA